AGAGTTAAGAGACAGCTTAACATTAACCCTGGCTCTGCCCTTTCCCAGTAAAACCATGGGACATCAGAGGAAGATAACAAAGTGGTAGACAGGTGGCAGCTGAGGTGGAGATGGGAGGGTGTCCATGGCCAAAGCCATCAGGGGCTGCCCCTTCTCAAATCCAGACCACAGAGTCAGACAGCCTGGCTAGATCAGACCTGGACCTGTCACTAGCAGGGTCATGGACAAGTTAACTCAGCTTCTCTAGGCAAAGTTACACCTTTCTCACAAGACTCAGAGTAAAGGAGCACAGGCATGTGCAAGACTCACCAAGACACCTGGCAAATACTCGGCGTTACCTGTTTGTTGAGGTAAGTAGCTGAGTTTCCAGATTCATGTACCTACAGTGCTCAAGGTGAGTCAAAGAAAGAGGTCAGAGTGGGGAAGGAGCTTGGGATTGGTGACGACAGTTCTGGGTTCTTTGCTACTCAGCTGTGTGTCATTGCCAAGTTGTCTAATTCCTTAGTGAAGACACGAGTCCTGCCCTCGTAGGGCTTCTCTGAGGGGAAAATAATATTCAGTAGAATAAAAGTGAAGGGAAGGGCTGAGTGCACAGGGTCTGGTGAAGGCTGACTGACGTAAATGAAAACCCCACCCTGGATCTCAGCAGTAGAAGAATTATCTCTCATACCTAGACCTGAATTCCCAAGCCCCTCAGCTACCAATCCTCCCTTCTTGGTGAGCTGGCCTTCCTGACTTAGCCTGGACTCGAGTTGGCTATTTCGTAGAATCTCAGGCAGCCTAAGCTGCAAGGAACATTAGAGATCATCAGATCGTCCACATGACCTTTCTCTTTGTGTGCCAACACTGAAAGCCAACATTGTGTGGTCCCTTTACCCTTCAAGGTCCTCTGAGGCTCCTCTCCCCACTGATCCCTCCATCTGAGGCCTACAGATGTTTTCAAAAGTTCCCTGGGACACTTGGGACCTTCCACCATTTTTGCGAAGCCTCAAGCAAAGCCAATGCTTACCAGGCAGCCAGGTGGTAGATAGAAACTCCCCAAAAAGGACTAACTGGCTCTATTACCTCCTGGCTTATTGTCTGGCTACTGCTAAGCAATGCAATTGTCCAGTCCTTGATGCCTCCCTGTCTTACCTCACACAACAGGAGATAAGTCTCCTCACATCCTCTTCACTGAGAAAGCCAACACTGTGTGGTCCCTTTACCCTTCAAGGTCCTCTGAGTCATCTCTCCCCACTGATCCCTCCATCTGTCCTTCTACTTCTCCAAGACCAGCCTCTACTCAGGCTCTCAATCCTTCTCCGTTTACTTCTAAACTTGACCTTTTCCCACAGCAGCATCTGACAGCACTGCTCACCTCCTCCTTGACACACCTCTCTCCATGGCTACAGCGCTGCCCTCTCCCGGGACTGCCTCCTCCTGTTGCTCCATCTTATCTGGAGCTTACTGGCTAAAGGCAAGTGCAGCTCTGGTTGTGCGGGAAGTAACTGTTTCTCCATGTTCTACCCTCTCCCACAGTGACCTCGGCAATGAGCTCCATCAAACTGGTGATACCAGATTTTCATCTGGAACCAAGCTGATGGCTCCCTTGGAATATCCCACTGGCCCCTGCCACTCTTTCCCCTCTCTCCAGCCCAGTTCTTCAGCTGGAGTTTCTCCCTGGCCACTCAGGTTGCATTCTCCTCAGCACCTCTCTCTCACACGAAGGTTTGTCAAGGCCTTTCAAATGACCTTATCTTTACCACACTGCCTTATCTCAGGCCTTCATATCTTCTAACCTAAACAAAGYCATTGTTTCCCAATGGGTTTTCTTTTTTTCTTTTCTTTTTTTTTTTTAAAGAGAGAGGGAGAGAAAGAGAGAGAGAATTTTAATATTTTTTTTTTTTTTTTTTAGTTCTCGGCGGACACAACATCTTTGTTGGTATGTGGTGCTGAGGATCGAACCCGGGCCGCACGCATGCCAGGAGAGCGCGCTACCGCTTGAGCCACATCCCCAGCCCCCCAATGGGTTTTCTTTGAATCTCTTCCCTCTGTAACCCTTTATGCAGTCCTCTTAAGAACGGTACCTTACCTTATTCCCATCATCAAAAACTTCAGTGGCTCAGCTGGGGGTGTAATTCAATGGTAGAGTACTTCTCTGGCACTGAGCTACATCCCCAGTCCATCCATGGGATACCCCCCCCAACAACAACAACAAAAAAAAAAAATGAAAAAAAACAATCACAACAAAAACTTCAATGGTTTCCTCATAACTACAAAATGAAGTGAAAATATCTTGGCCTGGTGAAAAGAAGTTCCACAATCTGGCCCCATGTTACTTTCCAACCTGCATCCTCTCTATATACAAATACCCACCTCCACTGCCTTCTGAATCTTGCTAGGCCCAATTCCCTTCCCCAAACCTCTTACAACTTTCAGCCTCCATGTCTCTTCCCAACATGCCTTACCCCAAGTTCCCCAGGTATAAACCTTTCTTCAAAGCACAGTTCAAATGCTGCCTCTGTCTTACTCCCTAAAGCTGTTCCCTGTGTGAGGTAACAGTATGTGTATGCCCTTGCAGCAGCAGCACCACTCACTATGGTGCTTATAATTTCATTAAGGAGATTGTCCTCCACAACAGACTGTGAGTCCATGGGTTGCAGAGACTGGATTTTCATGACCATTCTTTTTTATGGTACCAGGGATTAAACCCAGGGGCACTTAACTTCTGAGCCTCACCCCCAGCCTGTTTTATTTTTTATTTTGAGACAGAGTTTCTCATTAAGCTGCTCAGGGCCTTACTAAGTTGCTGAGGCTGGCTTTGAATTTGAGATCCTCTTGCCTCAGCCTCCTGAGTCGCTGGGATTACAGGTATGTACCACTGTGCYTGGCTTTCATGACCATTTTTTAGTCCTCGGCATCTAACACAGTGCTTAATTTTTATTAAGTCACAGTTATTATCTTTTGCCTTGAAATATTTTTTTTTCCCTGTAAGTTTGTCACCTTCATTAGATTGTAAGTGCTTTGAGGTGAGGGATCACATTTTATCAATCCTGGTATACCATTTAGCATCAAGCACTGGACTTTATAAACAAATCAAAAAAGATCCTCAACAAAAACCTGTTACACTGAATGAATATTTAGAATGAGCTCAAATTCAAAGCATTCAGTACAAATAACCACCTAATATTTTTAAACTAGGATTTCCCCATCGCCAGTCTAAATTAACCCCAGGTCCTTGCTAACTCAGTGCATGGCTGCAGGTGGTACAAAGTGAGGGCTATGCAGATTCACAAGGCATATACCCTTTTCAGAAGAGCACAAACACCACAAATTTGCAGCAGGTGACTTGTGCCTGAGCAAATTCCAGCACCTGAGCCCCAGAAGGACAATCATCCAAGCTCCTGAACTGGCACAGGAAGCCTGCAGCTGACATGACCCACTGGTTCTGTTTTTAACATCCTCTCTTAGCTGCTTGCTCCTGAGCCCCCCGAAGCATCACAAAGAATTCTGACAGCTGGAATTCTGTTCCAACATGTTCCCCACTTATAGAGTGTGACTTATTACACAGTGAAGCTCCTTGGGCAGGTTATCTCAGGACTCCTGGCAAATACAGACTGAAGCCCTGTCCAAGAGGAAGCAAACAGACCAAAGATCAACCTGGAAAGTCAGAAGGGAGGAAAGTTCAGGAGCTCCTGGCTGTCTCTTCTGGCAGCCTTCCCCTTTCTCCATTTCACACTGCAAGTAGGGAGGCTGAGGAGGCTGAAGGCTCCTCCTTCGATTTCATTCCATTCCTTTAATTAACATCTATAGAGTTGCAGAGCTTTCCAATTTCTAGCTGTGTAATCTTAGGCAAGTCCCTGACCTCTGGGATGTTTCCTTATCAATAGAACAAAGATGATGATCCTGCACTGCCTGACAGGGGGAGGTCCAAGTGACAAAAACACATGTGGAAGACCTTCCTACACAGAAAAGCTCTATAGATAGTGCTGTTATTCACATTATCTGAGCTAACTCTCTAATCTTCTAGGAGAGGAGCCCAAGCTCAGAAAAGTCCTACAGTAGCAGTCAGGATGGGCCTTCTGAGTGCCAGTAAAAACCAGATAGTTTACCTAGTGGTAATCACAGGCACGAAACCCCATGCCTTTCTACTTTTCRGTTTGTATTATGAAAAACCTTTAGAGAACTTAAAGAAAAAGAAGATGAAGTGGCTCCGGGTAAAATGAGGTGGTGAGAAGTAGAGACCACCTCAGTATTTGGGAGGCCTCAGTCCTGGGCCTCTTAGCAGCCTTGGCAGTCCATAGGACGGCCCACTGACGGCCGGCTGGGAGTGAAGGTGGGTTGTGGGGTGGTGGAGGCCAGCAAATCTCCAACAAGTCATCCACCCCGAATCTCATCGGCGGGTGAAGAGGCTGCGGGAGGCAGAGGGAGCTGGGCCTCAGGACAGGCCGCTGGAAGTGCAACGGAGTGGGTGACAACTGGCAGGCTCTTGTTTCAGAAGGTGGTCCCTGGCCCTTGACTGGAGACGTGGGAGCGACTGGAGACATGTAGGCGCCTTTCCAGGGCGCCCAGAGGGCGGAAGTCTTTCGCTCTCCAGAACCCATTCCCTCTCTCAGCACTTATGTTTATTTTCCCGAACTATATTATTTCCCAGGCCAGCAACTGGCCCTGAGCCACCGAACGGCCCCTTGGGAAAAGTAGTTCGATTTCGCTTCCAGGTGAGTTCCCTTCGCTAGCACTGTCGGTGCCATCTCACGCTAGAAAACCTCAAATCCCAGAGGGATCCGCAAGCACCCCGAAAGGTGACGTCCAGACCGCCCCTGTCTTCAGGTGTCCAGCATCTCGCAGAGGCGCGGGACAGAAAGACTACAGCTCCCAGCAGCCACTGCGTGCTTCACTGCGCAGGCGTAGCCGCGCCTCGCCACCCCTCCCCCTCCGCCAACTGCTCCCGTCGGTCCGTTCCCGTATTCCCCCCATCAGTTCTAATGTCCCCCTCTGCCTCTCCGGTACTTCACACTCACTGCGAACTCGGGGCGTCGGGTACAGCCGCTGTGCCTTCTCCAGGAAGCGGAGTGCCCGGTCGGGCTGGTTGCTCTGGATGGCCTTGAGGGCGATGCTGATACAGCGCTCGGCTTCATCCTTGTTGGATTCCATGGCGGAACCAGAGCGCGGAACCAGGGAGGGGGAGGCCCGGCAAGCGAAGGGCTGCGCCAGCCGCCGGCGCGTCGCGGGTCAGGCCGGCGCAGAATGATGACACAAACCCTCCGCCCCTCCTTTCCGAAGATTTGAGTGAGAGTCGAGCGAGGGCGAAGGGCTACCGTATGTCATCTAAGAGAGGGACATTTGTTTTAGGTGTTAACAGCGCAAGCTAGAGCCCTAGAGCCCAAGGTGTTCCAGAGGTCTTTAGCCTTGAGTGTGCTTGCACGTTGTTGGTGGAAAAACTATGCGTTTGAGACGAATAAATATTTACTGAGTATCCACAATTTGCCAGGCACGATTATGTGATGGGGATACAATAGTGAACTAAACGAAGGCCCTGCCCCCATGGAGCTTACATTCTAGAATGTGTAGGGAATGGGGAGACATTTAGTAAACAGATACATTCAGATAGTGACAAACACTAAGAAGGAAAATAGAGGGTAAGGGATCTTATTTTAAATAGCTTGATAAAAGAACTCTCCCAGAAGCTCTTTTTCACAGGTACCTGAATCCAGGGGAGAGACGTAGATGTGACGATCTGGAGGAAAGTGGGCCAAGACAGAAGGAACAGGCAAATACAAAAGCTTGGAAATGGGAATTTTCATGGTGACTTATTCCAGGGTCAAGAAAGAGAGGGAGCATAAAGGAGTCCACTGTAGAGTGCAATCCAGATCTATTAGGATCCAGTTCTTTCCAGGTTAGCACTCCAGTGAAAGCAATCTTGTCAAGGTTACCAGTGGTCTCCATATTGTCAAATCCATTGGTCATTTCTTAGTCCTTATATTATTGGGCCTTTCACATAGGATTTGGCAAGAGGCTACTACAATAAGCCATATGAGAGTTAGGAGGCTACTGTTATAATACAGATAAGAATTGGAGAACTTGGAGAAGTGTGATGGTGGAGGTGGTGAGAAGTCATCAAATTCTGAAGACACAGAATTATTTTTCCTGATTCAATAGTTGGGGGATGTGAGAGACAGAGAGGACTCAAGAATGATTCTAGCATTTTTGGTTTCAGGAACTGGAAGAACAGAATTTCCATGTACTAAAACTGGAAAATAGGGAAGACTACGAAAGTATTAAGTTTGTTAGGAAGAATAGTGTATATTTGACTTAGGGCATGTTAAATTTGTGATGCCTTTTGGAACCAAGTGGACATGTAGATTAGAAGTTGTAAGCTAGGCATGGTAGGCCATGCCTGTAATCCCAGTGGTTTGGTAGGCTGAAGCATGAAGATCACAGGTTTGAAGCCAGCTTCAGCAACTTAGCAAGACTGCAAGCAATCTAGTGAGACCCTGTCTCAAAAAATTAAAAAATAAAAAGGGCTGGTGGTGGGGGGGCTGGGGTTGTGGCTCAGCGGTAGAGCACTTTCCTAGGATGTGTGAGGCACTGGGTTCGATCCCTGGCACCACATAAAAATAAACAACAAAAAACCTCATTAAAAAAAAGGGCTGAGGATATAGCTCTTGGTAGAGTATTTGCCTTGCATGCACAAGGCTCTGTGTTCAATCCCCAGCACCACACACACAAACACACACACACACACMCCCAAAATAAATAAATTATTGGGCTGGGGTTGTGGCTCAGTGGTAGAGTGCTTGCTTAGCATATGTGAGGCACTGGGTTCGAATCTCAGCACCACATAAAAGTAAATAAAGGTCCATCAACAACTAAAAAATATTTTGAAAAAAAGGGCTGGGGATGTGGCTGAGTGGTTAAACATCCCCCGGGTTCAATTCCCCCCTCCCCAAATTATACATATGTATAGGGGAAAAGTTGGAGGGCTGAGAATGTAGCTCTGTGGTTGAGTGCAAGTGTAAGACCCTGGGTTCCATCCCCAGCACTGGGGATGGGGGTGGGGGAACAAAAAGTCAGGGGCTAAGGTGTAGCCCAGTTGTAAAGCCCTTGTCTAGCATGCTGAGGCCCTGGTTGTGATTCCCAGTACCACAAGAAGTGTGTGTGTGTGTGTGGGGGGGGGCGGTGAGTTGTGAAGCTAAAAATATAATTTAAAGCTATAGGACCCGATGCACCAAGAAAGTGAATCAGGATAGGGAAAAGTTGAATCTGATTCTGAGCCTTGTAATGCCCCAGGACACTCGGGACAGGAGAATGTGAAGAAGTGACTTATGGGGTAAGAACATGAGTTATCTCAAAAGCCACGTGAAGCAAACATTTCAAGATTGCAAACCCTTATGATTCCTGATGATAAAGAAATCAACTTCTTCTTTAAAAGACAGCCCAATAATACAGACAGAAAGCTAAGATCTCTATAAATTGATAGGTCCCTAATGTGTTAATGGGTAAATACTGGGGCCCCTTTCAAAGAGCCTCTCTGAGGTTTGTTGACCTAAGATTATAATGTCTGTCTTCCCTTTCCTGCTGAATATCATGAGGTCCCCTCTTCCCTTTCCTGAGTGCCATGAGACCACTTCTGTTGATCACAAAGTACTTCAGTCTGTGAAGAGGGTACTCAAGTGGAATAAAAATCTGTAATTTCAGTGTGTTAAGGAACTGGATTGTGATTACCCAGCTTCTGGCTGATGAGCCCTGCCCTCTTTTCCTGCAAAGCATATAAAGCAGGAAAGTTTTATTTAAATTTCAAATCTGCAGTCAGTTCTTGGGCTTAGTTGTCGAGGATCTGGATCAGCAAGGGCCTGGAGGCGAGGCTGAGTGTGTTGTGGTTGAGTGCAGTTGTGCATTATTTTCCATTCTTCTTCCTCTGCTGCTGGGCTTAAGTGTTTCTGGTCTTTATATGTAGATTTTTTTTATCCCCCTGGCAACCCAGGGATGCTCTAACCCTAGCCATTTTTTTTTATTTATATATTTTTTTTATTATTTTTTTTATTGGTTGTTCACAACATTACAAAGCTCATGACATATCATATTTCATACATTAGATTGAAGTGGGTTATGAACTCCCAATTTTACCCCAATAACCCTAGCCATTTTTTAATTTTTTGAGACAGGGTCTTGCTAAGTTGCCCAGGCTGGCCTCAAACTTTTGGGGAGGGTGACCACCTCAGCCTCCTGAATGGTTTGGATTTCAGGGGTGCACCACCATGTCTGGCTTGTTCTGTAGATTTTGTTTAAAAATGAAACTGGTGTGTGAAGGTGACCTGAAATCGTACTTTCTTCTAATGGTTATTGAAATCAAGATATCATGACTTTGATCTAAGGGGAAAATCTGGCAACTTCTTCCTGATCAGCTGGGATCATAGCATCTATGGGAGAAGGAAGCTGAGCAAGAGAGACCAAAGTCCTCCATTGCTGCCTTCACTGATATCTAGAATTCACTGGAAAAGTGAATCTTACAGAGAATTCAGTATGCCCTCATTTTGCCCCCAGGCCTGAACCCACCCTTGTGGTAGGTGACCATCAGCCTTCAGATTTAAGTCCTCTGAGGATACTCAGAATTCACAATCTCATGGTACTTCCCCAACTCGGTACCAAGATGCATCTCACCTCCCCCCTATCTGTCTGCCTGTCCTCCTTAATTATCTTTTCCATCTGTTCAAATCCAACTCATTCTCTAGGGCTCAGCTTAAATCCTCTGTGAGAGAGAGGATTAATTTAATAGTATCATATGTCTACACTGGAAGCCAGGTCCTGTGCAGAACTTTAGGGAATCAGAGATACACCACAAATAGGGACAGAATCTGGCAGTTTATAGACCTGCAGCTTGGCCTAATAAGGGAGACAGGTATTAAAAGAATAACAGAGGAAAAAAAAAATAACAGGACAGTGTGGTAAGTACAATGATGGGATTGTTTGTAAACTCCAGGTGGCTAGAAGTGGGAGTTGTTAGTTGTGTGTGGGGGACCCAAAGGTTTTCTGCCAGGAGCTGACTGACATCTAAGCCAAGATGTGAAAGGGCCTTCTCCAACCAGGCATGCAAGCTTGTAATCCCAGTAGCTTGGGAAGCTGAGGCAGGAGGATCAGGAGTTCAAAGCCAGCCTCAATAACTTTTTTTGAGGACCTAAGCAATTTAGCAAGACCCTGTCTCTAAATAAAATATCAAATGGCTGGGGATGTGGCTCAGTGGTTAAGCGCCCCTGGGTTCAAGAAAAACAACAAAAAAATAAGGGTCTTCTCCAGAAACAAGTCCTGCTTTCAGTTCCCATAGCATTTAAGCTGGGACCCGCCATGGACACCACCTTCACTGCCCTGTGCAGTCTGTGTCCTTCAATTGTGAGTCTGTTATACCTCTAATGTCCAGCTAAAACAAGGGGGAGTGCCTCAGCAAGGACCTGGAACCTCACAGGGCTCAACACTTGTTAAATTAATAGAATAAGTGAAACGCAGAGGCAGGTTTTTCTCCCATAAAACTTTTATGCAGGCCTTCCCTGGGCTAGCCAGAGGGGTATACTCCTTCCTGCAGCTTCAGGAAGAATTGCCAAGGCAGAGGAATGTACCCCACTTCCTGTCCTTTGCTCTCAGGCTTGCTGCTCCTCGGTGCCCACTGCTGCCTCTAAATGTGACCCACCACTAAGGCCTCTTTTAAAAACTGCAGGCTCCAGAATCTTTCCCTCGACACCCTTATATTAAACAATGGTATCGACTAGAGATGGTGGAGGAAAGGGGGTTATGCACATGTAAATTGTGGAAATGGGGTGTAAACCTGGGCCCTGCATGGACTGGGTGTTCTACTTTCTGTCAGGCAATAGTGGTTCCTGGGTGGTGCGACTAGAAGAACAGAAACTGCCACAGAATGTCTCATAAAAAACAAAACAAACTGGATTTGGTGGCACCCATTTGTAATTCCATCAACCTTGGAGGCTGAGGCAGGAGGATGGCAAGTTTGAGGCCAGTCAACTTAGCAAGACCTGTCTCAAAAATAAAAAAATAAAAATATAAAAGAACTAGGGACATGACTCAGCAGAACATCCCTGGTTTCAGTCCCCAGTACTGGGGGGGCTGGGGAAAGCACTATGCTATAATGGTGTGATATTCCCCCAAGTCTCCCCCATGGTGCCTGCCTCAACTCCCTCCTGACTGCAAGCCACAGAGACTAGCATTTCTCTTTTCCAGGATGGGTCATAAAAACACAGGTAATTGGCATTTGAAAGATAGATAGAGGACTGTCTTGCTGAGCCCTCAACCTCTGGGATCTGACCCTATCTCCAGGTAGACAGTGCTGAACTGAATTAGAGGATACCCWGTTGGTATCCTTTGCAGAACTGATGGCTTCCATTGCTGGTGGGGAGAAATTCCAATGTCTTTTGAGGCCACAGAAGTTTTCTTTTTTTGTGAACGT